TTTGATACCGTAGGCAGAAAGGAGCACAAAATAACTGTTCATCACCACCTTGGACTACTACCTACTAGTTCGAGGATAATCAGATGCAATCAGAATTCGCCTTCAACGACAACTAATTAATTAATACAACTTGATCTACAATAGGCCACCATCACATGATGATGTTCACGTGTGGTGTTCAATTAAATTTTCCAATGAACAAGCAGCATTAATGCGTCCCCGTCGGCGTCCTATTCAATTTTCAACTTGATGAAAACAATAGATGGATATTATCATGTATAAATTAGTAACAAGTTCAATTTATCGCTTGTTAAAATTGGGCCTAGGATCACTATTAATTTACTGCCTTCATCTTCTTCATTGGTTCCAGAGTTTCCTGATTATCCAACTTAGGATAAGAGCTGTATTAGGATTAAGTTTAGTAGAAGTTTTCATCAAGAAATGATGATGTCTATGAGTGGTTGGTGATACTCTTGATTCGATTCCAGTTGATGAACTATCCTATATTGATAACGTGAATTCCAATAGTTTAAAGGTAAGAGGATGATTTATAGTCATCCAGTTCGCTACTAGCATTAAACTTCATCTTTATTTACTAGTGATTCTATATTTTGCTGTGAATGAATTACTGCTTAATGAAAATAGAAAATAGCATCGATAGATACCAGTAGTATTAGAGGCTAAAATCAGAACTAGTAGATGATCACCATCTTTAACGCTAGGTATCAACCTACTCGTGTTGATTAGTTTTCTTTTTTAAATGATTTGAACCATAATATTGGATAACATTTCAATCGTATTGTCATCCTATTTCAACACCAGTCATTTTATAAACGCTTCTAATCCCTCATAGTAAGGAGCGAGTACAATTAGACGCAATCTTAAAAAATGTCAATTCAGACCGCAATGACTATTCATCAAAATATATTAAGCTATCAATTCAGTAAAGCCTTGAAAGATGCACATTATTAGTTTTATTTTTCGGCACAAATGGAGTAAGCTGGAAACTAGATGAGTAAATTCCCTCTTCTAGCTACGCTAACCAATACGGTACATAATCCACAAAACCTGGCAATAATATTAACACGCTAAAGCCAAGTTGAAATCATGCTATTCCTATTTTTACGGGTTCTATAACTTGGCGATATTGATGATACAAATTCCGATACGACAATTTAGAGTTACATTTTCAAAGCTAACATTATCAAATGTAAATGCCTCGTTGTTGATCGTTCAAATCGATCACCCTTTAATAAGCGAGGGATAAATCTGTTATAACTAATATTTCACTTATTTAGAAACTTTTGAGTGGTAGAGAATTTTATCATCAAACTAAATGCGCATACAACTTGCTTGTGGAAAGCGTTAAAATAAAGTTTAAAACAAAATTATAAATTAAAATGTCTTTTCATCTCATTAACGCGGTTAATTCTGCTTCTATTTTCCTATGTAAAAAACAATTCTATCTACAAAAATCGTTCTCAGGCATAGAGAATTCAGTTCTATAAAGTTTCAAGCTAACAACTGTTAGTTAATCAAAATAAAATATATCAATAATACATGGATTCAGTCAACCAATCGTTACCAAAAAAAAAATAATTACTTTGATACAAAATCAATCGAAAGAAACTAACTATAATCCAATGCTGTTGTATTATCCGGTAAGGACTACATACTGTAATTTTACTTCTTAAAGTACTCCAGGCTTTATTATCGTCAACGTAACCTATCTACTTTACCTTTAAGAATACAAAATAGTCAAATTATCCTTTGGATAGCAAGCCAAAGCCGTTGCTCTATGTATCGTCATTGCGAGATTCTGTAGTAAGAGTAGACTTAATCGCATCAACCAGATGGATTCATTCTCTTCAGACACTTTTACTGTAGGCGCGTTATCAGTTTTATCTCGATATCATTCTATAGCCAAATTTTATTAATTATTTTGTAGCGGTACAATAAGGAAATATAGTAACAAGTTGTAGAAGAAGATTGAAAACAAAACACGAGACTTAACAATAAAGGTTATCTCACAGTTTCTGTCTCGAAGCGAAATCGCCCAGTTAAAATCACAAGTATCTCAAACCATGGCGTTGTTTTCACTTACTGAATCAATCTTGCAACAAATCAATTAATGGGAATTTTACTAGTTAAATTCTTTGATGCATATCTCGTGAAATAATTCCCGATATATCACACCTTGTTAATTTACGAGTATATCATTTATTTTACTTGCAGCTAAGATGAAAGTATACCGTACCACTGTAATTAAGCATAAGGCAGTAATTTTACCTTTTTATTTCGGTACTGTTCTATCTTAATTCCTTTTATCAGATCTATCCAAAACAGCTACAGACCATTAACTTCAATTAATTTATTCTTATTGAAATTTCAACCGATCAAAAAAATAATACAAATCCACTCTTTCCTTATCTACGGTAGAGTTGAGATCATTTATTTAATATCTTCCCGTCACGGAAGAACATTCTCCCTATTCGATACGACTAGTTTACATTATTTCCGATACCAATCGTACCCTTATTCAAACTATGCCATTAGCATACTGCAAATGGACGATCAATTCCAACTATAACCACGACATTAATAACAACATTATCAAAAACAACATCAATTCAAGTGTCCTTTTGGCCTCCATAAAATGTACAAGCTTTAGACAAAGGTGACAATGATTTTTTCATGATTGACCAAGATGTTGCAAAGGCCAAAAGAGAAAAATTTAAAATTACATACTCTCAAATTTCTATAATATATATTCTTCTTTTCATGGAGGAGGTACTAGCAGACTTATATCAAATATAGTCAAATGACCATACTCATGTTTTCTAACTCGTAACACCCAATTTTAGAAAGGCATGAACAACTAAAATTCTTCCATTGCCGCTGCCAAATAATTATTTAATTATGCTGTTGATATCCTTTCTATAACGTGGATTAATTTCCACCGTTTATAAGGTTTACGAGTGACAAAACAACAGCTAAATACTATAAAATGATAATCGTATAGAAAGTAACTATCGCCACCACAATCATCCTAAAATTTTCGAATAAATGATTCAGCAGAAGCAAAGTATGTACCGTACGTCCTTGATTCAACAACATAAACCAAAATATTCTATCTAGAATAATACTAAATCATAAATCAATTATTAGCTAAGATGATATACCTATATCCAAAAGTATAATAGCCTCCAAATGTAACTGGTAACCATTTATATGATAGACTGTATAAATTCTACGAATACAGTCGAGAATTAATATCACCATACCTGCACTTTGATTCACAGACATCCGTTTTACACAATGCCGTAGTATCCTCTAACAAATCTGAACTCGGACCCTAATATTGATATACAGAATGACTGAAAGGGCTTAAAGCTATCACTAGCAGCTATCTTTACTGAAAATGTTATGATGCAAACAAGTATAAAAAGAAAAAATGTAAAGATTGATGTACATTAATTATAATTATCAAACCCTTGTTTTGTAATACTATATTAAAAATGAAAGCTTTTCAAAACATTACAATCAATTAATTGAGGTGTTGATGTTATCATATAAAGGTAATTTGGTTAGGTATTCCTTGATAATGTATTCTTTCTCTTGAGTCGGGCTTAAAGAAAATAACTGTGTCTTAATTTATGGTTCGTAATTACGGCAGTAAGTTGTCACAATATCTGCTAATGATTTAACATTAACGAACCCATATAAAATACAAGTCCTACCCAACAACTTATAAAGCAAGCAAATGGGTGATTTAAATATCTCTTAAAGTGTACAGAACTTGGAATACAGATGTATGGTGCTATGTAATTTTCATTTCAATAACTGCGATATCGTTATCCTCTTGCTGCTTGTAAACAGCTTAGTACCCGTAGTGCCTATATTTACGTCAGTAGAGGTAATGCGGCAATGCTAATACGGAACTAAATCATCATAATGCCTACGTCTACATCTACGGAAGTAACTTAGAAGTGCTAATACCGTAATAAGCCATCCATATCCGCCATAAAAAGTACATGTACAGATCTAAAAATGTTATATTGGAAGCGGTAAGTGTATAACTTGGAATACTGATAGTAGACGCTAATTAATTACATTTCATTAACTGTAATGTTGTTATCATCTTGCTGCTTGTAAATAGCTTAGTACCCGTTAAACCTATATTTATATCAATAAAGGTAATTTAAACGTGCTAATGCGGTACTAAACCATTACATGCGATATAGAAAGTGCATGCATAAATCTAAAAATGCTGTGCATTTGACTTCAAATCCATATCATTCTGGTTGAAATCAATAATGCAAAGAGTGCCTTCACTTACCATATCGTGAAGTAATTTATAGGTCCATTAAGCGCATACCATATGCAAACATCAACTAAGGCGATTCTCAGTTGAATTTAATTCGCCTTATATTAATAATTATGTAACAGTGACTGCTTACGGCTAAATGGGAAAATGAAAACAGAGTTAATCTTAGCATTCTTAAAATTCATCAATTAATAAATTATAATGGAAATTTCATCATCTGCAGTTATAGAATCGTCTTTAATGGAAGTCTACTATTGATAATTCAATAATTAATATTTATTATTTATTCTTCTTAAAAATTTTGTTAAAAATTGTGATATTATGACTAATGATTTATACTAAGTGATGGTATGACTTTTAGTCTGTTTTTATAGGACATTTTGTGATGAATTGGTGATTCAGAAAATCGCTAAGGATTGATCTAATACATAAAGTTAATCATTCATCCTCCACTACTCTACTTATCCATTCACTTCGAAGCTAAGATTCAATATAACTCCTGTTTCCGAAAGAAAGTAATATAGGCAAATTACTAGCCATTGACCTGTACCAAAACGAAATTAATTCGCCGTTACTAATTATCCATCCGAATACGCCGTAGTAGCCTTCAAACTCATTTCATAACGAGTTCCTATTTTATTAATTGCTAAGCATATCTTGGTTGATTAACGATATGCCATCGCCTGAACTACAAACAGCTCAAAATCTTCCAAGTAATCACACAAACACAATATATACCAATAACGAGAAAGGAGATACTATGCAAAAAAGCTACATGGAAAGCATCCATCCAACTTCGCCTGTGGGGCAAATGGCACCAGCAGAAGCATTTATCAATAATACACCAACATATATACCTACAATGGTCCAACAATTTCCTCAGCCAGCTATAACACAGCCTTTCTCGCAGCCAATATTGCAACCATTAGTTCAACCTGTTCTGCATGCAATTCATCAACCTATGCATCAGCCCATTTCAACTTCTACAGTAGGACCACTAAATCCTTCACAATCGATACCAGTGCAATCAAATAATTCTGTCGAATCAGCCTTTCGTTACTTCCCTCCCATGAATTCTAACAATATCCCTGTACCAGATATTGGTAGCCAAGTTAATTTATTCCAAGCAAATAGTAACGTACCAGATAACCTTGGAACGATGCCGCCATTTATTCCTCCATTGCGTAATCGATCACCATCAGAAAGTGTCTTGAGTGATAATTATTCATTAGGTAGTTCGTACAATTATGGCTCTCAGCGTTTATTTGGAGCAACAAGTCCAACATTTAGCTTTAAAAATGGTGATTTGAAGTTAGACTATACCAAGGTAAACCTGTCCTAGTGATGATACAGTTATTATTTCCTATCATAGTTGATAATAATGAATGCATTCTTTTTTCTACCGATCATATAAAAAAGTTGAAAAGCTGTAAATTTGTATTTCTCCTATAATTAATCTAATGCTTTACTATCATAATAATAAATGTATGGATACTCGCGTAGATTATAATATATGTCAAAGTGCTTCATATTGACATTACTCCGATAATCAATGTAACATTTTGTTATCGTAATTTTATTCATTAGTCAAGTGATTCTCCTGGTCGATATGGCCTAAGCCCTGAAGCCCCAGTATTATCGGCTAGAGAGATGATGTCGGAAGAAATTAACGCAAAAGTTGCCCAAGAAAGTGCAGGTAAAGGGCGTTGAGTAGAAAAATGCATCCAAGTATCTCTAGAAAAGTAAAATTTGTTTTGTGCCACATCAGTAAACTAAAATATGTAATATTTCTATCACTTCCATGGCTAGCTTTGGTAGAAAGACTTTATAAAGCGCAAAAGGAAAGGGATTGCGCCATAATGGCCAGGCTACGGCATGCTAATGAAGAACGAGATGCAGCCGTTAAAAAATTAAGACAGATTGAGTCTACACGTAGTACAAGCAGCTTTTATGGAAGGTAAATCTAAAATTTTTCCTTACTATTACTTCCAATTTTTTGAACAGCCTAGTAATTACCCTTTCTCCATTTACCTACAAGTTAACATAATAAACGCTAACTATATTATTTTTCATTCTGCATTATGCTAGTGATGATGAATCTGAATCTGAAAGTGAAGAATCGGAAGATGAAAAGCCAGTCAGCGCACGTAGTCAGCAGGTATGATTGAGTTTGTTGAACTCCCCTTCTATTTGTTCGCTAAGTTAATCAAGATCAGATAACGATATAAAATCTAAAGGCAAGGTATATGATAAATGAAAATTTTAAGCTGTATATTGCCTAATATTAATCACTTCTACCTTTAAGTAAATAAGACTTTGCTAAATGTTAATGGATCCAATGCTGGCAAAAACAATAACCTTATCTTGTAGTAAAATCTTCTTGAAATCGAGACCTATCAGTAAATATCATCAGGAAACCCACTTTCATTCTCTAGATTCATTTCATGAGCTACAAAAACTTCCCTGAACTATGAATAACTTCAAGAACTAAAAACAAATTCATATGATAAACATGATTCGGCCATTTGTTATTAAGAATGGCTAGGACGAGCACATACATTATCAGTCAGTAAACATCTAATCAAAGCTACAATCTGAGATTTTATTCACTATAAAAGAACTGTGATTTTGTAAATTGATTTGATTAATAAGGGCATGGAAATGTTCATCGCAGCACAAAATAAACAACCACTTTGGCAATCTTTCTCAAAGTAAAAAATCAATATTCCTTCTTTAGGATGTTTCCGAACTCCTTACACAGATTAATCGGGCTAGTAGCATTGCCGAATTAAACCGCCATGGTGCACAAGTTATTGGAAAAGTTAAGTCCGTTCAGAAACAAAAACATGTTACTATTAATCATGAACTAACTGCAGCACTAAAAGAGAAAGATGAAGCTGTAAATAAGGTATCGTACTTTTAACCTTAATTTCACTATAACGGTAATAGCTTAATGTAATGGGTCATGAATTGTGATTACTCGCTCATTTGGGCAAATCTCTGCGTATTGTATTGCCAGCATTGCAGTATGAGATATGACACTATAAGTGTATTCAATGGACAATACAGCCACATGTAAACCAAGTAAATTACGAAATTTTTTTATAATATACATATTTCGAATACATATATGGTTCTCTGATGCTGTTTACCCAATACTAATTATGATAGACTTTCTAAATTTTGACCGAGAATAATTAATAGTAATGACTGAAACAAAAAATTCAATTCTATTTACCTTAGTGTTCAATTCTTGAAGAAGATGTTCGGCATCTACACCGTGAAAAGGAATCACTGAAGAGCAAAATTAGCATCCTAGAGGATACCAAAGTTAAGAGTTTACGGGTAATAAAACTTCGATTGTACTTGCTACTACTCTTCAAACTATAAATTAAACTCAAGCATGTCCTATCTCAATATCAAAAAACTGAATGTCATATTTATATGCGCAGAGCCAATTGATTGCTTCACAGGAAGAACGAGATTCACTGCTTAGACGACTCAAGAGATCAGAGGAAGAATTGGAAGATTTAAGAATATATTACAGGTTCAGAACGTTTCTACTGAACTTAATAATTACCGTAGTCTCCTAGATTTTCTTATTGCTCCAATAGAAAACTTATAAATTGTTATTTTTTATCTAATGTGCATACGGATAGTTTATTTCGCTGTTTGGGCTATAAATATTTGTCAATTTTATTATATTTGATTACCTTCTTTAGTCTTCATAATTCTCTTTCTGATGAGAAAAATCTTCGTGATCAATTTAATGCAACAATCCAAGCGTATGAGGATAAATTGCGGCAATACGAAACAAGTAACAGGCAACTAGATCAAGATAATCAGGAATTAAATTCAAAGCTAAACAATATCATTCGAGAACGAGATGAAAAAGCTAGGCAGCTACACGAAGCCACCACATCAAAATTTTTAGCAGAACAAAAAGCTGAAAAGTAACTATTGGAGATTAGTGACTAATATTATAATCTTAATAAATAGATACGATACTTACATATTGATTAGTTTAAACAGATGATTATTATAAATCTGATATGCAGCATCACACCTTCACTTTATTATATGATAAATTTAAGCCTTTAACTAATACGGTATTAATTTGCAACATTTACGGTATCTTAAAATAAACTGAAAATACAGCTCTCTCTTGAAATAATGTCATTAAGAACCAGAGCCACAACTTGATAACTTTTCAGCCGAGAACTATTTTAATAGTCTAACAGATATAGTATTTTGTAGCATAATAACGTACAGTCGATATCCATGACACGATTCACAGTGATCATAGTTAGTATCCACATAACATTAATATGAAATTTACTACATTATTTGCTCTTTACCGCTAAATAATATATATTACAATCTTAGGATAGTTTAGCCCTGATACTTTTCAGCTAGCCTTTGGGAAATAAACTTGTCTCCAATAAGTAACCACGATAGGAACTTTTAAGCCATTGACTTATCATCTCTTCTTATTTTTTGCTATGATAGAACTGATCGTTTATGCGGAGTTTTAAAGAAGCGCTTAAACTATTATAATAACAATAATCCAAATGAACAATTCCGATACTGATTACATACTACCGTTGAGGAAATTCTACTATGGAACCGTTATGGTATCGCCATGTGTGAAAGAAATTATTCCTAGGATCAATAGTATCTACAATGTCCCGGTATCTTTTAACTTATTTCGAATATAGTTTAATATTATCCATATAGTCATAACGCGTTATATTCAGATATTAAACAAGTCTTTGCTAATCCTGCTATCTTTGCAGAATAGACTGTATAATGTACATGTAACGGGCAGTTTGGGTAAAAGTACAGGCAAACATTTTGCAGTGATATGCAGATTATGGCAGGCACTCTTAATAGACAAGTCTATTTTTTAAAATTATCAAACATAAAATATGAATTTGAGATAATTCAAATAGCATCATTCACTTAACGAATAGGTTATAAATTGATATTATAGATTCTTTCAGGATTTTTTTATCAAAATGAATTATTTTATCATTTACTTATTATAGCATTTTTACGATTATAGGCTAGAAATTTTAATTGAACATCCTATTAATGTAGCTAGATCATTTAACTGTTAACAGATAGTAGCAAAAATGTCGTTTTATTATTATTATAAATGTGGTATAGCTAACTAGGCAGTTATCATGATCGTCATAAGTAAGCTCTGAAAAATTAGGTATCCACAATCTTGAGATCCATCAAGGCAAAAAAAACGAATTAATATTAAGATAACTAACATCGCGAGCGTATTACAAACCAGTTTTATGTTAAGCTATTTCTTGTATAGCGTGAGATTCCTAGGCCAATGTACGTATACTAACATTAGGGATATGGAAGTTTAAAAGAACTTGTAAGATTTCGAGTTTGTGGCGGTTATTAATGTTAAAAGTTTCACTCAAGGGTAATGATATTTTCTCATGATGTTAAATTAATTTATTCTCTTGATCCAAGCTATGAGTGTTAACTTGCAACATCTTCCATTGCATAAGAAATACTCGTATAATACTTAGTAAAACTTTCGAATTAATAGATTTGTGCATTCATTTGTATTATCGTTATTACCGTAATAATATTTCGATTATCACATTATTATTATGTTATTTATTATTATTATTATTATTATTATTATTATTATTATTATTATTATTATTAATATTCAGATTTCATCTTCATTCCGTCGGCCAATCTGTAATTAAAAGTAGTTAGTATTGACCAATGATGTTGATCATTGTGCTATTTTATAGACTAACCGCGATAATTGTAATTTTTCGTCGAAAAATAAGCTCATTTGTACTACATATTTTAATGATTAAAAGTTGCTAGTTCAGCAGCTATCCATTTAATTATCGATGACTGGTAAATTTTAATTCACGCTATCTAGAGATTATCAGATAAAGCAAAAGTATAGAGTGATAAATCAATTTTAATATTCGCTTTGAAACGATTTCCAAAATGATTCGTTTCTATTAACGTACCATGATGATAAAAAAATGCGCTCGATGGCGAATATTTTTCGATCAGCTATAGCTTTTATTGTCCGAAATAGCGTGATATATTCACACTTGCATTAAAGTCGCTTAGATGCAAAGAAAATAGATTTGATTTGTTTATAAAGCCCAGAAGTAATCTATGCTTGTCTGCATGAAATACTTTACTAGCTTAATAGAAGCTAAAATTTTAAGTACAACATCTATTAAAATAATTATCTATAAATTTGAAATGTTCAACATTGCATAGTACTAATTTTATGTAACTAAAGTTAAAAACAATTTTTATTAAATTCTTAGCTACTGAGCATCATTTTAGATACCTGACGTTAATACTAAGGAGTATTCTTACAATAATATTCCAAGAGTAGATGGCTCTACACAATAAAGCTATAAATATTAATTATTCCACTTTCTGATGGATTATTTTTTGCCTCAATATAGCCATCAGATTAAGACAAATATATCTAAGACTAGCTGATGAAGTTTAGCCATTAATATCTCCTATAATTAAAATCTTATATCGATATTTGATGCCTACAACTATTATAAATAATAATTTACTTTTTCACATCCGTCTAGAAATTTATATTTCGTATGTTCATAGTTTTCCATATTCACAGCAAGCGCAGTCGTACTTTACTACTTTCAAACATCACATATCTCCAATTTTCCTTTCTCTACAAGTTCACGTAATCATATATGTCCGCGTTATTAAGATCCAGCATTTATTTTAAATATTTCACTCATTTTTAAATCGATTTTAAAAATGAATATTTGCATTAACTAAAATGAAAGGTTAGAGCATTACAAGTTATAACTCAAATAAATTACTCAATATTCGATCATTATTTAAAATCACCGGTATAAAAGCTGCTACTCTATTAATTACGATCAGTCCAATCAGTCCTTTACGGCTAATTAATTATTATACCACTATAGATAGAAGGAAGCTAACTCACTATTTCATCTCAATTAAACGCAATGAATACATACTGGAATTAACGTTATATTAGGGCAATTAAGCCTGTTGAAAGGATCCATATCTCGTCCTCTTTACTTTTTACCTCTGTAATTTCATTTAACGGATTTTACTTAATATCATCAGCATCTAGCGTAATATTGTACCAATAAAAGTATTCTAACTAATACGCAAACTTTGACCTACAATTTGTTCCTTTATTCTGCTACATCGATAAACACAGTTATTTACGTTATCTCAGAGTATCATCTAATGAACTAAATTGGATATTCCAGGATCGAATTATAACTACTCTTACGTTCATTATTACGACTTCCAAACTATACGGCATAAAAAATCTGATCATTAAAAGAAACGATATGATAATCGATTTTTCAGCGGCCACTTTAGTAAATAACTGCCTCACTTATCCTATTACATCAATAGCATTTGGCTACTTTTGATGCCTTAAATTGACAACCAATAAAACTGATTTCATAACCGCATAACGATCATTAATCAATCGGTAGCATCAGGTCGCTACTCAATTAAATCAGGTTAAGAATCAAATTGATCTATTAGTATTTCTTAGTATATTATTTAAAATTCGCGGTCAAGAGTCTCTGCGATCAGAGTTAACTATTAGTATTATTAACATCTAGTAATCTAGTAAAGTCGACTGACATTAATTATTAAACTAAAGCAGCCAAGTTGCATTTATTTGAAACTCACGCACGGAACCGAATTCTCAACTACAGGGCTAAATTTATGAACCCTCATTCATGAGGACGTTTAGCGATCAGTTACTAACTTTACTAGTAAAAGATGATGAATTTATTTGACATTAATAATTTAGGCTGAATACTAAATTGAGTTTATTTATACATACTCCTAAAAGCTAGTAATCATTTTATAATTGCTGGATTAAGGCCTGCCAAAAAGTATTTATCGTTGCTGTAATAGCCTTAAAATAACCTCTCTTTATGAAATATATCTGGTGCTACGATGACTTTCTATAAATTGGAGCATCGCCATAGTTAAAGACTTGGTCTACTTATTAATCAAAGTGAAAGAAACTATCACAATTTTTCAATATTAGTAGTTCAAACTGTTATTAATGGCGTTTAGTTGATAATGTCTTCCATTACTATAAATTAAATTTGAATTTATCGATAAGAAAACCAAGATAGCTTTTATATTTCTGTATGCTAATATATAAATATATTACGCATCATCACATCGTATACTATCCATACATTTGAGTTCATCGATAAGAAAACCAAGATAGCTTTTATTTTTCTGTACGCTAATATACTGTATATATATGTTAAGGACAAAATCATTCTTAGGAATGGCCGTAACATATACATTTAGCATCATCAACATCGCATACTGTCCATACGTTAGCCACAAAATAATTACAGTAGCCATCTCGATGTTAATCTTCTACACAGTACATAGCACATATGCCAGCAATCTACGTCAAAGTTGTTTTAATCGTAACAATTGGGAACAATTATTGTTAATAAAAGCGTGTCCAAGTCGACGTCGTTTGTAAATAAATAGAGGACATCTTTTATGATCCAAAATGTCGCAACAAAGTAGCATTCTCTCGCTGTGTTTATTGTTCGTTAACAACACGGATAACACTTGATCTTAAGTATAGCCTTGGACGCAATATAGTAGCAGCAGTAACAATTGTAAAAGTAACAGTATAGCAGTAGTCTATTGAATAAAGTTGACAATAACTATTGCAATTGTTGATATTTGTCAATACAAGCAAGGAAACCTTTAAAAAGGATTTAAGGCAGCAATTCAGTATATAGAATAAACAAAATTATAGTTCAATTTAATTATTACAATTTAAAGCATAGATAGATATTCTCAGCTACTACAGCTGTTAATCATTCACCATCGCTAAGAATGATACCCATAGATTATAACTCCGTATAATTCAATTAGCATTCCCTTGAGGGTCTTTAGCTAATTATAAATATTAACTTAAAATGAAGTTTCATAGATGAATGAATAATTCTAACAAGAGCTTGCTTAATGTTCAGCTACAGGTATATTTTAACGACCACTTTTTTAGCTTCAATTAGAGTAGGAAGAAATCGTTCATTTTATTGAGGTTACTTTTAACTAACATCCTCTAATAAATCTAGGATCGAATGCAAATACAAATCAAATTAAATCAGGACGGATAGTTAACAATTAGGGTACCGATACTGCATCTAACGATAATTAAAACAGAACTGTTTCCGTTTCGTAACTTAATTTAGACAAAAAATCATCTCTTCACTGATGCCCCTAACACTTCCTTACTGGTATATATATACCATATTACTTAACTTATGAGTAAAATGAAAAATAAAGTAGTTTCTATAGAAAAAGATTATCGATATATCACTGTTAAGAAATTCGAATGGAAAAATAATCTATTTTACACTGGCTAATTTAAATTTGTGGGTTCTCTTGCTCGCTGTGAATATCTCGTACAATAAAGTCACCTAAAATTTAAAAACATCTATAAATAGCCAATCATGAGATAGATTTCGTAAGTATACCTAGATTAAACGTCACAAATCTTGACTAAAGACTAAAGCTAGCACATACGAAAAGAAGAGGGCATAACTTTCAATGAAGGGCAGCAAACTTAATTTGTTTATCGTAGCCATACTAGTACGTAATATCTTCTTACAGTTAAATAAACATTTTTGCT